TGTGTGTGTGTGTGTGTGTGTGTGTGTACATGCATGTTTTTAATGTTTAAATATCAGCTGTTTAGTGTGTTTCTTCCTCTGTGTGTGGGTGTGTGTGTGTGTGTGTAATCATATCTATGAGAGCGAGTCCTGGGGAAGCGTTCCTTTAACCCATGGCTGCCCCCCCGCTGGCTCTCCACACCATTTAAAACCACATGACAGGAAACCTGGGTCACTTTGAACTACAGTACGCTGACAAACACACCGACACCGTCGTCCACAGACAGAAGAGACAGAAGAAGGAAAAGCAGCTCCCTGCTGACAGCTCATTGTCTCCGTCTATAAATCAGACTCAGATAAGACTCCAGTCTATAAAAGTCTCAGAATTTATGAGCCAGAGTCATAAAATTAATTCTAATTAATCACCAAAGGTCTCGATGATGCAACAGATGGCATGTGTTCGCTGAACGCTGCACATCGGGGAGTTGCAACTGTTGTTTCTTATTTTTTCCATCTGGACAACATTTAGTGTTTGGAATAAAGAGATGAAGAAGGAGCGGCGCCTCACCGCACCGAGGCCTCCTCCTCTCAGCTCAAACAGTAGCATTTGGTCAGCTCCTCCGAGTATTGGCCTGAGAGGAGCTCAGGTCTGGATTTGATAAGTGGAAACAGACCGGTGCAGCGCTGCCTGTGTGTTTGAAGCCAAAACACATCCGACACAGCGTAAACAGGCCGTACTCCAGTGACTAAGCCCTGGAGCTTAGCCATAATCATTGTAAACCTCTGTACAGCAGATAGACCATATGCTCCGCACTGAGCTCCGCACTGAGCTCCGCTGCCTCACCAACAAATGCCTTTGTTTTCTAAATAAGTCCACGTCGCTGCTGCACGCCCAGCTGTGCTGTGTTTAATGTCCTGCAACTTTACAGTGAAAACAAACTCTTTGTTTTTGTCTCTGAGTGAACTGATTCCTGAACATTTACTCAACAGGTCAGTCTGAATTAAATTCAACACAGAAAATAAGAAACAAAAGATGCAGCCAAAGTCTCTGAAGCTTGACGGGACAACATGAAGCACGTCCCTCCATCCTCCAAACCAAACATGACACAGTATCCAGGCTTCACAGCGTGGAGGAGGACCCGAGCAGTTTATGGTGTCGCTGTCCCCCGAGGCTCCGAGGCCTAATGAAGTCCCATCCGAGCTTTATTAAGATCCAAGGGTGGGGCCTCATCATAAAAGAGCAGAAGAAGGGGGGGGTCTCTAGATCACACCTCCGGAACACAGAAAGATCCAAAGCTGGTCGCCAATGGGGGGCCAATGGGGGGCTGACGGGGTCCTCAGTGGATCCAGATCGACTCAGCAGCTGATTTAATGCAGCAGCAATTCAACCACTTAAAAACATATCCTGAGGAAATACAAGCTGGCTAACGTCCCACATGGCGATCAGCCACAGCGCGTGTATTTAGCAGCATTTGGTTCACAGCTGGACATCACGCCTCGGTGAGCGTGTATGAATATCGAGCGCAGACGGATCACGAGTTTCAGAACATCAGGTGGATCAAACAGTAGAAGAAGAAAAGAAAACAAACACAATCAGACCTGTGAATCAAACAGGAAGTGACCTTTGTTTATCTGGAGGTACGTCTCATGTTATGATCTGGATTCATGACAGAAGCTAAGAGGAAGAACAAACAGCAGAGGAGGAGGAGGAGGAGGAGGAGGAGGAGGAGGAAGCCTGGAGGATGCTGGGATATCGATCGCTGAGTGATCAATGCAGCACTAAATGATCTGGCCATAACCAGAGCAATTACTGGCTCAGTGGTGTGTGTGTGTGTGTGTGTGTGTGTGTGTGTGTGTCTGCAGGCCTCGGTATCAGTGCAGGACCAGTGTCTCAAAACATAACAGAAAAGGTCACGACCTCTCACTCCATTGTTGTTTCTTCATCACACATGACTCAGTAATGATGAAGAGGAGGAAAATGGACGCTCAGATCATTGAGACAGAGACGTTAAACAGAGATGAGGGGAGTCTGCAGAGAGCAGTGTGTGTGTGTGTGTGTGTGTGTGTGTGTTTATGACTGCTGTGTAGTTGTGAAGGTGTGTTGAGGGTGTAATTGGTAGGTGTGTGTGTGTGTGTGTGTGTGTGTGTGTGTGTGTGTGTGTACAGTACTGACCTGGATCTGTTGTTGGAGAATGTTGATCTTGTGCTGCTGCTGCAGGAGCTGCTGCTGTTGTCTGGCGATCTGCACACACACACACACACACACAGAAAGAGAGAAACAGTTAATAAAACAATCCCATTGAGTCTCCACTCTGTGTTTCAGCTCTGTGTGGACACAGCTGCTGACCTGAACACTAAACCTCAGTCATCAGTTCTCTGTCCAGCAGCTGTGTGTTAGTCTCTCACTCTACAGCAGGAAACGGCTCTTCAAAGTAAAAGCTCTGTGCTGGAAATTCACTGCACTCCAAAATAAAGTGTATTTTTTACAAAGTTGATGCGTCACTTGTGGACCAATCAGAATAGAGCCGCGACCCACTTTTGGACCACGACCCACCAGTTGGGAACCACTGCTCTAAAACAACTTTTTCATTTGGTGTTTTCTTTTTTAACCATTTTAATGCCAGCGCTCACCTCCATACCAAAACATGTTCCTTCTGCAGGGTTACTGTCGCTGCACCACCACAGAGGGCTCTGATTGGTTTAATGAAATACAAACAACCCTGAGCGTTTTTTTCCTTCTCTGCAGAATGATGATGGGTTCAGGTGGACCTTCAGTTGGAAAGAAAAAAGGGTGCACACACACGCACACACACACAGAACTAAGGACACCATTTAACTGTCATTAGCCTTCATATCTGCAACACATGAGACAGACACCCACCAGCTGATCCCAGTCACTGTGCTGTTCTTCTTCTTCTATCATTTTAATCAGCACTGATCTGACCTGTGGTGAACAGTCTGTCACTGCTGCTGGGAAACACTTCAGGCTGCATGGGCTGTGATATCTGGGTCATTTTAGGAGGGTGAAAACTGTAAAAACCCAGTCAGTGAGTTTTGATACTGGAGGAGACGGTGAGCCAGGGAGGAAGAGGATGAAGGCACACTGAACCATCGGAGGAAGAGGATGAAGGCACACTGAACCATCGAAGACAAAAATGTTTTCCAGCAGCTCTGAAAGGTTCGTCTGACGGGCGGTGCAGCAGGTCAATGCTCCACGATTGTTTCATCAGCGTGCTGAGCTCCTGACACTCAATGTGTGGGATTGACATGTTTACTGGGCCAACACCCAGCATGCCTCAGGAACCCCCCCCCCCACACACACACACACACCCACACACACACACACCCATCATCGCTCCTCAACAGGAGGTGCCGTCACACTCCTTCTGATAAAAAACATCTGAAGTCAGAAGTTACAGAATCTGTCAGCCAGTGACGGACAGCTGTGACCGACCAGTGACGTGAGGTTAAACTCCTTAAAGGGCCAGCACGTCAAGCGTCTGATCCCGCCCACTCTGCGCCGGCAGAGTGAAGCAGCTGCCTCACTGTGTTTTTTCTGAGGAGTCGTTTAGTGTATTTATTCTGAAATGTAATTACAGGCTGCTGAATGGGAGGCGGCGCCCCATTTGCACACATGTCATATTTCATTAAAGGCAGATTTCTCAGGGTTTGTCTGTAGGGCATTATCCTATCAAGTCTCAACAGCCAAATGACTGGCTGATATTGGAATCTGTCTTTCTTTTCACTCTCTCCATCCTCCCCGCTCCTTTGTGAGGCTGTGAAAGGTGGAATGTGTTGTGATGGGAGGTGTGGACTTGTCCAAACAGAGCCTGTCGTATGTCGACCTACAGTAACGTGTCGGCAAAACAGCCTAAACAAAGAGCAGCTCACCTAAACACCTCTCTGTTTCTGTGTCTGTCACACGCTTGTTTCTCTGTGTCTGACACCTGAAGACACGCATCAGCATCGTCGCAGCTTTTAAAGACTCATAAACACACATAATAGAAGAAAAAAATATGTTTTGACTTCACGTCCTGGGTCTCATTCTGAAAGTTTGGGATTTTATTACTGACAGTTGGGACGACATTTTACAAGCCAACTTCGGGCCGATCTTCTTCCTGCTGTGTTCCTGCAGACGACAGGATACGTGTTCCTGTTCTGAGCGTTCACACAGAGAAATGAACGGCTCACCTTTCAGAGACGTGCGGTCTGTGAGCAGAGGCGTCACACCAAGGCGCTGCTTTGGTTCTTAACTAACTGAAAGCACAGGAAGTTCATCCAACCTAAAGCTTCATCTGCTCTCCACCCTGCTGGAGTTACATCTCCAAATCTCAGCCATCAAAATATTCGGATATCTGAGAGGAGCGAATGACAGGCGCTCTGAACCGTGACGATGACGTCATGACACCATGTGACCATCCCTACCTGCTCCTGCTGCTGCCGGGCCAGCTCCATCTGTTGTCTCTGCTTCTCCAGCTGTGAGGCGGCCATCTTTTTCTGCTCGTCGTGGGCAGAGAGGAGCTGCTCCCGAAGACTGATCAGCTGACCGATCATAGTGGAGAGTTGGTGCTCCTTCTCCTCCAGCGACTCCGGCGTACCTGCACAGGTAGACAGAGAGGGAGGGGCTTTAATTTGATGCTGAAAGCTGGAAAGGTCTTTGTCATCGCATCACTCATCACGTCACAGGCTGTTGGCGTCGACAGCTAGCTAGCTTGCTGCTAACTCACAACAGTGGACGGTTTTTGAAAGGAGCTGACGAGCAGACCAGAAGCCCCGCCCACTAATCCGCAGCTGCAACAAATCTCCTGAGGTGTGAGGCAACAGGTGTAGATTTACTGCTGCGTGTAAGAATCACCATGAAACATGTTCTGTGCTTCTCAGATGAGTTTTTAGAACCGTCTAAATGTGTCGGCTGAAACAACAGAAGAAGACTGTGTGAGGCGCTACTGTCTCCTACGGGCCCTGAAGGCATCATTTTAGGTTTCATACATTTCTACATGTGCTGCAGTGTTTTCAACGGGCTTTAATGACATATTTACCAAGAGAGGCCCCGCCCATAAGCTGATGCTGTCTGAGGGGGCGGGGCCTGAACACCTGGGCTGGAGCATGGTACTATCTTTATTTTATTTTGTTGGTTTATATGTGTCATTCTATTCAGTTTTTACTCATTCATTGTGTTTAATGGTTTACTTTTAGTATCATTATTTTCAACAAATTCTTGAGCAGTTGTGAGTCACACATCTCTGTATCTTTATTGGTTAATTCTTCATCTTAGTTATTATTTATGAGGTTTTACTCTTAGTTTAAACAGATGTGATCGGTTGCTGGCTTTGTTTTGTGCCTCTGATGTCTGCCTGACACTGTGTGCAGCACACTGTGTTTCCACCTGAATGAGCCAAATAAATAAAGTTGTCTTGCATAGTTTAGATGTTCAGTCTCCATTTAAAATCATCATCATCATAAAATCATCTCAGAATCAGACCTGTTCTGTTGATATGACGATAAAAACGAAGAGAAAACAGACAGAAATGTGGTGAAGATTTACGGTGATGTTCAGTTTGTGTCTTGCTGCAGACAGACGCCACAGAAACTAGTTTATTTTGCTTAAAGTTCCAGAAACATAAAAGCAAACAAAAGAAATGAAACATGTTTGTTGAACAGATTTAGAAAGTGTCTTGTATTTCCATCTCTCTACTTATTATGTCTCTTCCTGTCTGAACATGCCGTCACAGTTTATCACTCAGTGTCTCCCAACAACAATAAAAGTTCACCTGTGAAGAGTCGGAGCTCCTGTCAGCTTTATGACGAACACATTCCTCAAAGGTCGGGAGGAGGGACGACACACACACACACACACACACACACACACATACACACACTGAACGAAAACTGTGTCACAACTTTGACTTCATCAGCAGCAGCATCTTCATCACCCTTAGTAACAAGTCTTCATCACAAAGCTGGCCCCGCCCTCTTTTTAAGGTTTGTATTCAACATGATTATTTTGTCAATCACATGTTGTTAAACATCGTTTCTCTTTTTGCCTCGTGACTTTCGAAGCAGTCGTGACTTTCAAACATAAAGCGGAGGAGGTGGAGGAGGAGGATGAGGAGGAGGAGGAGGACAGAAACACAGCCGTCGACAGGACGCTGCCCTCAGAAGCGTGTGAGCACCAGCAGCAGGTGACGTTAGAGCTCTAGATATGCTAACGTTTGTGCTAACGTTTGTAAGCATTAGCCCACGTCCTTCATCACCTTCACCTCCTTCATCTC